CAATGACAACCGTCCTACCATCCCCCAGCCCTGGGAGCTCCGAGTGTCAGAAGGTGAGGGCTACGTAAAGTGAAAGGAATAAAAGGTGGCAGAGAAAAACTTACCCACCCTGTACTTCCAAGAGTACATAAAGACCCTGATGAACTCCCTTGTCTGGTGTTTTGCAGATGCATTGTTGGGCTCAGAAATTGCACAGGTAACAGGGAATGATGTGGACTCTGGTCCAGTGCTATGGTATGTGCTGAGCCCATCTGGGCCCCAGGATCCTTTCAGTATTGGCCGCTATGGAGGACGTGTCTCCCTCACGGGCCCCTTAGACTTTGAGCAGTGTGACCACTACCATCTGCAGCTGCTGGCACATGATGGACCTCATGAGGGCCACGCCAACCTCACGGTGCTTGTGGAGGATGTCAATGACAACACACCTACCTTCTCACATAGTCTCTACCAGGTACTCACTCCTAGATGCCTCCACAAGTGGGCCCAGGATTGTTCCTGCTGGACAGGGAGGAGACAGATTAAAAGTGTTTGGGGTCAGCTGGATGCTAGAGTCCATTGGCAAACAGGAATGTCCCATCTCAGACCAGCCTTCCAGGGCCTGTAGACTATATCTAGGTACTGTATCCTGTGACCAGAAAGGGGGAAAAGGAGTTCTCACTCAAAGCTTAACAAGTATAGCTCTCAAGCTGGAATGGATGCCAAACATGGCTTTTTGGATCAAGCTCCAGCACAGAGGCTGGGGGCAGCAGGGAAGCTGGGATGTTTGATCCTAAACACTGTTTCTCACACCTTAGGTGATGCTGCTTGAGCATACACCGCCGGGCAGTGCCATTCTCTCTGTCTCTGCTACGGACCGAGACTCAGGTGCCAATGGCCACATTTCCTACCATCTGGCTTCTCCCGTGGAGGGCTTCAGTGTTGACCCCAACAACGGTATGTCTTCCCTACAATGTGATCCCTTGATCTTTTAACCATATTTGGCCATATGTTAATTAAGATGTTATTTCTAGAATTTGTTACCAATAACTTGACTCCTAGACTTCTGATTCGAGGAGCACCTTCTACCAACTTTGTCTTTAATATAAGCCTGACTGCCTGTCTGTTCCTGAGCTGAGTCTTTTGAGGCTGTTGCATACTGTTTTAGCACATCCCTAGAGTCTGACTTCCAAATCCAAATCACCTGAAGGTGATATGTCTTCTGCTGACACAGTTTGGCCACTGCTGAATGAATGTGTGTTTCCCTTTTCTTCTCCTCTCAGGAACTTTGTTCACAACAGTAGGAACAGAGGCCTTAAGCCATGAGGGGCCAGGAGTGTTGGATGTGATACTGGAAGCACGAGATCACGGAGCTCCACGCCGGGCAGCCCGAGCCACAGTACATGTCCAGCTGCAAGACCAGAATGACCATGCCCCAAGCTTCACTTTGCCACACTACCGTGTGGCTGTAACTGAAGATCTGCCCCCTGGTTCCACTCTGCTCACCCTGGAGGCCACGGATGCTGATGGAAGCCGCACCCATGCCACTGTAGACTATAGCATCGTTAGTGGCAACAGGGGCCGGGTCTTCCAGCTGGAACCTCGGTTGGCTGAGGCTGGGGAGGGTGTTGGACCGGGTCCTCAGGCCTTGGGATGCCTGGTACTGCTTGAGCCACTGGACTTTGAAACCCTAACGCAGTACAACCTAACCGTGGCTGCATCTGACCGAGGGCAGCCACCCCGAAGTTCAGCTGTGTCCGTCACTGTCACTGTACTAGATGTCAATGACAATCCACCTGTCTTTACCCGAGCATCCTACCGTGTGACGGTACCTGAGGACATGCCTGTGGGTGCTGAGCTGCTGCACGTGGAGGCCTCTGATGCTGACCCCGGCCCTCATGGCCTTGTGCATTTCACCCTCAGCTCAGGTGACCCCCTGGGGCTCTTTGAGCTGGATGAGAGCTCAGGTGCCTTGCGATTGGCTCACCCTCTGGACTGTGAGACCCAGTCTCGACATCAGCTCGTAGTGCAGGCTACTGACCCTGCAGGGGCACACTTTGCTTTGGCACCAGTGACAGTCGAGGTCCAGGATGTGAATGACCATGGCCCAGCCTTCCCACTGAACTTGCTCAGTACCAGCCTGGCTGAGAACCAGCCTCCAGGCACTCTTGTGACCACTCTGCATGCGATCGATGGGGATGCCGGGGCTTTTGGGAAGCTCCGCTATAGTCTGTTGGAGGCTGGGCCAGGGCCTGAGGGCCGTGAGGCGTTTGCACTGAACAGCTCCAGTGGAGAGCTGCGAGCGCGAGTACCCTTTGACTATGAGCACACAGGAAGCTTCCGACTGCTGGTGGGTGCTGCGGATGCTGGCAATCTCTCGGCTTCTGTCACTGTGTCAGTGCTAGTGACTGGAGAGGATGAGTATGATCCCGTGTTCCTAGCTCCAGCATTCCACTTCCAAGTGCCAGAGGGTGCCCAGCGAGGCCACAGCCTGGGCCATGTGCAGGCCACAGATGAGGATGGAGGTGCTGATGGGCTGGTGCTCTATTCCCTTGCCTCTTCTTCTCCCTATTTTGGTATCAACCAGACTACAGGCGCCCTGTACCTTCGAGTGGACAGTCGGGCTCCAGGCAGTGGAACAGCCACCTCTGGGGGCGGGGGACGGGCCCGGCGTGAAACGCCACGGGAGCTAAGGCTGGAGGTAGTAGCACGGGGGCCTCTGCCCGGGTCCCGGAGTGCCACAGTGCCTGTGACTGTGGATATCACCCATACTGCACTGGGACTGGCACCTGATCTTAACCTGCTCTTGGTAGGGGCTGTGGCAGCCTCCTTGGGAGTTGTGGTGGTACTTGCACTGGCAGCTCTGGTTCTAGGGCTTGTTCGGGCCCGTAACCGCAAGGCTGAGTCAGCTCCTGGCCCAATGTCACAGGCAGCACCCCTAGCCAGTGGCTCCCTGCAGAAGCTGGGCCGGGAACCACCCAGTCCACCACCCTCAGAACACCTGTATCACCAGACTCTCCCCAGCTACGGGGGACCAGGAGCTGGAGGCCCTTACCCCCGTGGCGGCTCCCTGGACCCTTCACATTCAAGCGGCCGAGGCTCCGCAGAGGCTGCAGAGGATGATGAGATCCGCATGATCAATGAATTCCCACGTGTGGCCAGTGTGGCATCTTCCCTGGCTGCCCGTGGTCCTGACTCAGGCATCCAGCAGGATGCAGATGGACTCAGTGACACATCCTGTGAGCCACCTGCCCCTGACACCTGGTATAAGGGCCGCAAGGCAGGGCTGCTGCTGCCAGGTGCAGGAGCCACTCTGTATCGAGAGGAGGGGACCCCAGCTACCGCCACAGCCTTTCTTGGGGGGTGTGGCCTGAGCCCCGCCCCCACTGGGGACTATGGATTCCCAGCAGATGGCAAGCCGTGTGTGGCAGGTGCGCTGACGGCCATCGTAGCTGGCGAAGAGGAGCTCCGTGGCAGCTATAACTGGGACTACCTGCTGAGCTGGTGCCCTCAGTTCCAGCCCCTAGCCAGTGTCTTCACAGAGATCGCTCGGCTCAAGGATGAAGCCCGGCCCTGCCCCCCAGCTCCCCGTATTGACCCACCACCCCTCATCACTGCTGTGGCCCATCCAGGAGCCAAGTCTGTGCCCCCCAAGCCTGCCAACACAGCGGTAGCCCGTGCTATCTTCCCACCAGCCTCCCATCGCTCCCCCATCAGTCATGAAGGATCCCTGTCCTCAGCCGCCATGTCCCCCAGCTTCTCACCCTCACTATCTCCTTTGGCTGCTCGCTCACCCGTTGTCTCACCATTTGGAGTGGCCCAGGGCCCTTCAGCTTCAGCACTCAGCACAGAGTCTGGTCTGGAGCCACCTGATGACACAGAGCTACACATCTAGCTGTGGCCCAGGCTGGGCCCCGACCTGGGATACGCACAGTGTCCCCAATGCAGGCCCCATTCTGAGCCTGCCCCAGAGCAGCCTCGGACCACGACTGGCCGTGGGGAGGCCACCACCAAGCCCCAGCTCTCTACCCTAAACTCCTGTGGGGCCAGGTCCCACATTTCACCCCAGCCTCCTCAGAGCACTAGGACCAGAGGGTCTGTTGGTCACTGGCTTGTGGCCAGGTCCGTAGTGTGGGGAGAAATATGAAGGAAGCGGCAGCCCTGGGTTCTCAGTGAGGACTTCCTGCCCTGCACCAGCACCCTGTAATGGAGCTGAACTTTATTTATTGGGGGCCATGGGGGATGGAAGAGGCCCCTCCAAACTCTTTGGACCCTACTCCCTTGGGTCCTGCCCCTGCCCAGAACAAGTGCCAATTCTCACTCTGGAGCCTTAATAAACTGCAGTTTGTATCCAGCCTCCAGCTTTGCTTTGTGGGGATGAATGGAAGGCATCTGGCAGTACTGTGGACACCTCAGAGGATGCAAAAGGGTAGTGCACATGGGGGCATTTGGGGTACAGATGGCACTGGGAGCTCAGGAGCCTAGTTTGAGGCTGATTTATCGCCTTGTAGTAAGTTTCCTACCTGGGGCAAAAGGGTAGCAGAGAGGGATTGGTTCTTTGGGAAAGAATCTAGGACTGTGGGACCAAGGGTCTGAAGAGAGGGGAGGATGGACATGAGAGCAGTTCAGCAAAGAGATCCTTCCCCCTTGGAGCCACTAAATATCTAGAATAAGAGTTTTACATTCGGTGATTTACTTACATCGGTGTAAATTCTCACTGCAACCACATACAGTCTCTTATAAATGAGTAAGTCTAGGCTCTGAGAGGTAAAATCGTTTTCCTACTATCACACCTCTAGGAAGTATCTATCTGTGAATCTTCAAAGCCCATTCTCTTGTGATTCTTGGGTGGCAGGATGTGGGCAACAGGTTGGGAACTCTGATCTGAAATGCATAACAAGGTAAGAGAAGATCCGAGGGCAGCCCTATGCATTTGGGAACATTCATTTGAGAGGGAGGAGCCATCTTTGTCACTAGTTGCTAGGCAGAGAATGTGGAAGTGGAAGACCAGGCCACGTGACTTGTCACATGATCTCGGATCATCAGAAAGGCAAGATGAGACTCCAAGTCCGGTGAGAAACTGGTGGGAGGCAGGTGAAGGGGATCAAATTGGAGGGAATACATAGAGAGGGTGGGAATACAATGGCAATCCAGATCACACTGAAACTCACCCGCCGTTCCCGCAGCCTCCTAGGGCTCCTTGCCGTCATCACCGCCTGCAAGTGCAGTTATAGTCCAGAGCCTGACCAGCGTCTGACGTGAGTTGCTTTAACACTGACTACACCTTTCCCCATTCCCATTTCTGTACCCACTGTCCTCCCTCACCCTAGTACTACTCCGTAGCCTTATCCTCAGACATCAGTCTTGATCACCTGCTATGATCCATTTCCGTCTGGGAATCCTGCCCAAAGACTCAGCTGTTAATCCAGAACCCTCCATGACCCATATTTCCCAATTCCTATCCTAACTAAGGATTATTCCCTTCCTGACACTGCAGGCTGCCCCCAGGCTGGGTGTCCCTGGGCCGTGTGGACCCTGAGGAAGAGCTGAGTCTCACTTTTGCCCTGAAACAGCAGAACCTGGAGAGACTCTCAGAGTTGGTACAAGTGCTATCGGATCCCAGCTCGCCTCAATACGGTGCCTATCGGGACTGGGGGCGGAAGTGGGGTGTGTGAGGGACAGGGAGTTTTGACCTGCCAGGGGATGGTGCAGATCATGGCAGGGTTGTGTTCATGGTGCCCTCAAGGAAATTGAATGGCAGTAACTGTCACTGGGGAGTTGCTGAATGAAAAAGCACACCAGAAATTCGGCTAAACACTGTAACTTTGTACCCTATTTCCAATTTTCCACCTGTGTTCTTCAGTCTGAAAAAGCCAAGGTAGATATGATTAAGAGCAAGCTTTATGATCAGATCTAAATTCAAATTTCTTACTACTTACTTGTTACTAGGCAAGTGAGGAGATAGAGCCTAGTGCATGTGAGTGCTCCTCAACTCAAATTGCTTCCTACATCCTCAAACCCACTTCTCTTTCCTCTTCTGCTCAGACATGGAGGCTGCCAGTTCAGCCACTCTATTTATTGCCTTTGCATTGGTTTACTTCTGGCCTGCCCCCATTGTTATTAAGTTCACTGTATAGTCTCTCTCCTTGACTACTGCCCTTTCTCCTGACTGGTCTGCAGTTCCCAGCACTCCGCTCTTCACTGTACTCCCCACTCGACTCCAAAACAGTCTCTTCAATGGTCAAGCTGGATTGTATCCCTCACTTGGTTAAAGTCCTTTATGGCAGGGAAAATGTGTGTGTGTGTGAAAGATAGAGGTGAGGGATCATCCATAGATGCAGGAAATAGTAAATCATCACATTAATTTTAAAACCAAGAAGTATAGAGATTTGAACAAAATTAGATGCTGTATAATCAGTTTCAAGAACTTTGAAAACTTTTATTGGAGATAAGGTTAAAATGGAAAAATTTAAATTATTAACTTCCATTATTTTTTCCTCCAACCATGGCAGATGAATACCATGCTATAATATTTGTAATCCAGTAGCCTTTAGGTTGACTCCATATTTCTTGGTCATGGTATTCCAAGTCTCTCCCATCTTTTTTTTCCCCATGGACACCAGCCCCTACCCAGCCCTCTCTCAGAGTCCTGATGTTTCCTGGTTGAGGTCCAAAGAGGGAACTTGATAAATCAGTGAGTTAAAACAAGATTCTCTTTTGAATCATTGCAGGAAAATACTTAACCCTAGAGGATGTGGCTGAGCTGGTCCAGCCATCGCTGCTTACCTTCCTCACAGTCCAAAAATGGCTCTCGGCAGCTGGAGCCCGAAACTGCCATTCCGTGACCACCCGGGATTTTCTGACTTGCTCTCTAAGTGTCCGGTGAGAGGGAATGTTTGCCCAGTGGAATGATTGCCCCCATGAAGGATACCAATTGTCCCATCAGGGAGACTAGTCACCCCAAGGGGATGAGTTGAGAACCTGCCAAGAGCTTGTGGGCAGTAGTTAATGCATGACTGGTGTGGTGCTTGGGCTGCCTCCTCTGCTCCATTCCATGCATTCTTACCTCTGTTTTCTCAACTCTAACCTCTAGTCAGGCAGAGCTACTGCTCCCCGGAGCTGAGTTTCATCGCTTTGTGGGGGGACCTGCAGAGACCCATGTTGTAAGGTCCTTACATTCCTACCAGCTTCCTCAGGCCTTGGCCCCTCATGTGGATTTTGGTAAACCTGGCGTGGTTGGTGGGGATTGGGAAAGGCAGATCATGGGACTGGACCTGGGATGGGGGTTTGGGGGAGGCGGGGTTGTTGGGTACTGTCAGTGGCAAATAGTCTATAAGATCTCCTGAAGCCTGACCCCATTCCCACAGTGGGAGGCCTACACCGCTTTCCCCCTACCTCATCCCTGAGACAACGCCCCGGACCGCAAGTGGCAGGAACTGTTGGCATGCACTTGGGAGTGACTCCTTCTGTGATCCGTCAACGATATAACTTGACAGAACAAGATGTGGGCTCTGGCAGCACTAACAACAGCCAGGCTTGTGCCCAGGTGAGCCAAGCAGGGAGCTCCAGGGTCCTCATGGCCTCCCCACGGTGTCTTCCATGTCTTGCCATACTGGGGCTTACTCTCTGACCCCATGATTCTGCTCTGACTCCCTCCATAGTTCCTGGAACAGTACTTCCATAATTCAGACCTGGTTGAGTTCATGCATCTCTTTGGTGGCAAATTTGCACACCAGGAATCAGTGGCCCGTGTGGTTGGAAAACAGGGCCGGGGCCGGGCCGGGATCGAGGCCAGTCTTGATGTGGAATACTTGATGAGTGCTGGTGCCAACATCTCCACATGGGTCTACAGCAGCCCTGGTACTGCTAACGGGACTAGATGGTGGGAGGTGGGGTGGATCCCTGCTCCATCAAGGGAATGACCTAAGCTTGAGGTGGATCTTGACAACCCCCCTTGTACCCACTTTTTTTTTTAAATTTTAAATAATCTAGGCCGGCATGAGGCACAAGAGCCCTTCTTACAGTGGCTCCTGCTGCTCAATAATCAGTCAGCCCTACCATACGTGCACACTGTGAGTTACGGAGATGATGAGGACTCCCTCAGCAGTGCCTACATCCAGAGGGTCAACACCGAGTTTATGAAGGCTGCTGCTCGAGGTCTCACTCTGCTCTTTGCCTCAGGTAATCTAAACTTAGATCTCCTACCCACTCACCCAACCTAGGAGCTTTAACCCAACAGAGCTTGGTCTCTGATTATCTGAACTCAGAATCTTAACAGGGTCTATGGGTGTGATCTAAATTGTGAGCTCCTGTTGTAACAGTGAATACTGATGTTTCCCATCTAGTTTAGGAACCTATATACTAAAATATAACCAACTAATATGAATGCCAAGCTTCTCTCTCTCTCTGTCTCTCTCTCTCTCTCTCAGGTGATAGTGGAGCGGGTTGTTGGTCTGTCTCTGGAAGACACAAGTTCCGGCCTAGCTTCCCTGCATCCAGGTACGCAACACAACTTACACCTTCCCTGTGACCACAAATATTTCACAGGGTAACATGAATCATTCACTTTATGTTCTAGAACCTTCGACTTGACCCTCCTAAGTGCTCCTATGACTTAGCCCTCAGCATTACCCACGCTCTCACTTCCTGTGTCCCAGGCCCAAAGTCTCTTGATTAGGACACAGCTCCCAATGTTTCTCTTTCTTAAGCTCTGGGCCTTTTTGTGACAGATTATATGCATAATTAACTCAGACCATGCCTGAAGCATGCAAAACATTGCAGTCAACTCCGTGTGCATGCTTCCTTACAACATCTGGCCCTTGTAGCATGACTTAGCCCACCCATATCCACATGTTTTAGAGGTCCCTAACTATTTGAATGCTGTTTTCTCCCTTAGCCCCTATGTTACTACAGTGGGAGGCACTTCCTTCCGGAATCCTTTCCTTGTCACAAATGAGATAGTTGACTACATCAGCGGTGGTGGATTTAGCAATGTGTTCCCACAGCCTTCATACCAGGTAGGTACATGTTTGTGTGGATGGATAAGTGGTTTGGGGATCCTCACTTCATCACACTGCTGGACAGGCCACAGACTAATAAATACTCAAAAATGTCTTTTAGGAAGAAGCTGTAGCCCAATTCCTGAAGTCTAGCCCCAAACTGCCACCATCCAGTTACTTCAATGCCAGTGGCCGTGCCTACCCAGATGTTGCTGCACTTTCTGATGGCTACTGGGTGGTCAGCAACAGTGTGCCCATTCCATGGGTGTCTGGAACCTCGGTAAGAATCAGCCTGGCACCGGGCACCAGTGGTCTACACTTATAATCCTAGTTACTCAGGAGACTGAGATCTGAGCATCATGTTTTGAAGCCAGGCCAGAAAGGGAAAGTCTGTGAGACTCTTACTTCTAACTAACCACAAACTGCAGGAAGTAGAGCTGTGGCTCAAGTGATAGAGCACTGGCCCTGAGCAAAAGGGCTCAGTGCCAGTACTGGCACAAAAAGAATCAGCCTGGCATCAAACCCCCCACTCAGGAACTGTCCTTACTCATCTACCCACTAGACCTTGCAGGTAGAACCTCTCAGTCTTCTGAGACCTCTGATCCTTTTGAACCTTCATCCCCAAAAGTTCAGTCACTCTGAAATCCAGCATCTACCTATCTCTGCCTTGCAGGCCTCTACTCCAGTGTTTGGGGGGATCTTATCCTTGATAAATGAACACAGAATCCTCAGCGGCCGCCCTGTTCTTGGCTTTCTCAACCCAAGGCTGTACCAGCAGCGTGGGGCAGGACTCTTTGATGTAAGTATGGAAAAGAAGCATGTGGATATTATTGTAGGAGTATGAGGAGGAATAATTTGGGGGCAGGTCTAATGTGGGATAGCCTTTGGGACATTCATACACAGTGAAGAAATGTCATCTAGGTACCTATATGGGCAGGTTCAGTTCTCATGCCCACCTCCTTTCTAGGTAACACATGGCTGCCATGAGTCCTGTCTGAATGAAGAAGTGGAGGGTCAGGGTTTCTGCTCTGGTGCTGGCTGGGATCCTGTGACAGGCTGGGGAACACCCAACTTTCCAGCCCTACTGAAGACACTACTTAAGCCTTGACCCTTTCTTGCCAGAAAAGCCGAACAGTTCATCCATGCACTTCCATGGCTCACTTCCTTTTTCTGCCTTGTTGGGACCCCTGCTGTACCCTCAACTGTTGATTTCTGTAGACAGCTTATCTCCCTAACCCTGACTCCCAATCCTACTGGGCTCTATCATGCTCAAGTCCCCCAACTTCTGCTTTAAGCTCCTTCCCAAGATGTAATCACTAGCATTTTTCTTTTCTTCCCACTTCCTCTTTTCAGTCAAGGATGTGAAAACAGAGAAGGGTACAGCCTGTTAGCACTGATACCAGCAGGCCCAGATCTGGTGCCCATTTCTATAATATTATGTGCACTATTTCACTTCAACTTTGCCCTCCAGTTAATGAAGTTGTTGCCCCATCTTTTACTCTTTCCTCCCTGATGCTGAGAGGCAATGGCCTCCTTGTTTACCTCCACTGTATACTTATCAATCTGTGCACAATGATGTATTTCCTAGAAATTTTCTTCCAGGGCTTAATTTTGATCACTTCTACCTTCCTCACTCGTAAACTTGTCTCTGCTTCCTCACAGAATGTTGGCTATTCTTCATTGCTTTATTCTCTTTTGTACTTATTTTACTCATTGTTTCCTGGAACAAACCACTGGCATCTATAGCCATCTCACTAGATCACATTTCTACTCAATAGTGATTGATACCTCAAATATAAGACCTCATCTCCCTCCATCCCAGCCCCAAAACTTCTTGTTTTGTCTTGGTAAGTACTGTGCTTCTTTGAACCAAGCCAGATGTCTGTGTCTTTGATTCTCATTTTTTTTCACTCCTCTACTACCTTCAGTTTAACCCATCCTACTGACTCTTAAATATACCTTATCCGATCCAAAAGTCTTCCTAGTTATATTTCTGAGTATCTCTAGAACATATCCACCTTTCTCCATCCACACTGCTACTGTAATTCAGAGAATGACATAAAACCCTTGAAAAGAAAACCAAAACAAAAACAATGTGTGTCCTTCCTGCTCATCACTAAATCACCTTACAGAGTAAAACACAATACTATAAAGCTATTTAGTTGATAAAATCCTTTCAAAGATTACTGGGTTAAGCATGGGCATTTTTTTTTTTTTTTTTGCCAGTCCTGGGGCTTGAATTCAGGTGTGTGGGCCCTGATCCTGGGCTTCTTTTGTTCAAGGCTAGCACTCTATCACTTGAGCCACAACATCATGTCCAGCCTTTTCTGTTTATGTGGTATTGAGGAATTGAACCTAGGGCTTCATGCATGCTAAGCAAGCACTCTACCACTAAGCAATATTCTCAGATCCCCTTTTACTCTTTTTAAAAAACTTCATGGCTCACAAAACTTATTTTTTCTTAAGTAACAAATTATTTTTCCTTTCTCCTACCTAACCTCCAGGAATTCTCACCCTAACTCAAACTATTCAGTCACCTTACCACCACCCAATACATTTGCTAGGTTGATTTCCAGAATTCTTTAAAGATTCAACTCAGAATTTACCTCCTAGTTCCCTGAGGCTAGTTAACATTATTACAGAAAAATCCTAAATTTCCAAAACCAAACCTGGTTGAATCTTGGTTCTGACATAGATGGAGAGACCCTTAGCCAAATAAGTTTATCCCTCTGAGACTTTCCTCGTTTGTTATCAACAATCCTTGTTTTTCACAATCCGGGAATAAAATTAAGTGGAATGTTATAGTCTCTGGTACCTGGAAGTAGGCTGCAGAGTTTAGTTCCCTTTCTCCCTTGTACTGCACACTCTATGCCTACCTCTAGCAGGATAACAACCATATAGTGTTGAAATTTCAAGTTTACGTGTTTGCTACCCTTTCCAAGACCACCGGTGCCTAGCGGACTAGAATTGTGTCCTAGAATTTGTAAGCCCAGGCCCCAGCCCAGAGTTGGCAAACAGGAATTAAATAAATGTCTGTTGAACTGAAAACCTTCCGCTTTCACTCGCTGTGATTTTTGTACAGGACGTTTCTTCAGGCTGGGACACTCTTCTCTCCATCTATAGCAGCACTGTGTGCTGCTCTCCTGTCTGGAACAGGCTGTCCGATTCCACTACAACCTGCCTGTGTGTGTGTGTGTGTCTGGTGCGCCAGTCCTGGAGCTTGAACTCTGGGCTGGGGGGTGTGGAGGGTGGGCTGTCCTTGAGCGTTTGTGCTCAATGCTAACTCCAACACGCGAACCACAGCTCCACGTCCAGCGTTTCAGTGGTTAATTGGAGGTGAGCGTCTCGGGGACTTGCCTGCCCGGGCCGGCTTCGCTGCGCGACCCGCAGCTCTCAGCCTCCTCAGCGGCATCCCAGGCGTGCGCCACCGCCCCCGGCCTGCACTAAGGGAGCTCGGCCTGTCAGGCAGGCCCCAGTCGGCGGGTGTGGGCCGCGCACCGCTAAGCAAGGTCTGAGCCCCGGGTTTAACCGGGCCACGGCCGGGGACAAGGTCGTGGACACACCCCAGGGGAGGTGCCCGCTGGCATGGCGGAGGCCAAGCTTTCCACGGCGAGGTCCCCGCCCTTCGGTCTGTTTCAGCAAATCCGCCCACGGGGCCGGGACAGGAAGCCGGAAGGAAGGGCGGGAACTTACCGCTGCCACGGGCGGGGAGAGTCGCTGGGCGTGCGACGTCACCCAGGCTGTGCGTAACGTGAGCGGAAGCGGAAGCGGCTCTGTTCGCCGCCTCTCCCACCGGCCTGATGAGCGGCTGCAGTGGCTCTGGCGCGGACCTCGAGGCGGCCCCGGCCACCGCCGCCTCGGCCCCGGCGCCCGCGG